TGTACAGCAGAGCGACATCCACTTACCCGCTTTTTGTGTAGGCACCTATGTAAAATATGAATTAAATTTATAAAATCTGGTAGGCGAGTAACGGTCTGCTCCTCTGCTGTATATTAGGCATCTAGAGAGTCACTGTAATGGAAGTGTTACATTTTACCTAGTTCAATGATATAAGTCGTTTCACACAATAAACAATTCTTATCATATTTATTCTCGTATAGGATCGTATCATAAAATAATTGTCCAAATGGTTATTCAGTAGAGTGCGGACATCATATTGATATTATTAGTACCTATGTACATTGTACATAAAAAACACAACATTTGTCTGATGAATTATACATTTACGTTAAGTAAAATTTATGAGTAGGGCCTGGAATTATATGTACTAAAAATTTACAAAATACGCATGCATATATGCACTGCTTTTCATTCAAATATGCACTTAAAATATGCATAAATATATCATATACTGGATGTACGGTTATTTATATATGAGGCAGTCTTCATATTTTACCTATTTATTTATTTTTACAGGAAAATTAGTGTTGTAAGCATTTTTTAACTACCTAGACTATGTAATTAATGAAATTGAGTTTTTAATATTTGCAAAAAAAAAATGTTTATATTAACTGAGTAAAAGATGAAAATATGTGTTTCTGGTTGCTTAACTTAACCTACGTACACATAAGAAACTATAATATAGTAATATAATAGAATGATTTTTAACAAGGTAACTCAATGTGCGATGTTACCATAAATCTTCTAAAATCACATTGACTATATCCGTTGTATTCGTCGTTCCACTTTTAATATTACAGTGGTTTTTCCTTCTTTAGTTACTTTTTTATACAAAACTCAATTTACAACTGTTATAACTTAATACTTATAAATCACTTAAAAACAAATATTATTCAGTAACTATTTATCATTGTTTTGAAGTCGCACAAAATAAAACTACTCTTTATTAAAAATACGTATTATAAACATTAACTTGAATATCTCCTGGACAACGATCAAAATACATTGTGAGTGTTGTGTAGCCGGTTCATTTTTTTCCAAAGAGAATATTATKTATAATCATATAAAGTTAGAAATCGAGTATTCATCAATGTGTATGCTTTTTAATATTAACAATCCTATTACGGTTAATTATGCGTATTTTTTGCAAATTTTTATTTTAATAAAAACACACTTTCCTATAAAAACATATTTAAAATTATAAATATATATATTAAATTGAACTAAAAAATATTTTAAAAATTGCACTAAAAATATAAAAATAATTTTCTGTACTTAAAAATAATGAAAAATTTAAGTGTGTGGTGCATCATACAAAACATTTAAAGCCGAGCTAAGTCTCACATACACTTCTTTGTTCAAACCTGTTTATAAGATWGTGACTKKGAGTATATGTCAAGTGTAAGAGCACCACACACTTTTAAATTTTTCATTATTTTTAAGTACAGAAAATTATTTTTGTATTTTTAGTGCAATTTTTAAAATATTTTTAGTTCAATTTAATAT